CCCGCACGATGGAGATTTTGCAATTATTACACTAAAATAGAGCGAGCTGAGGTGAAATTCTTGCAAATTTTCAAAAAAAAAATTTTGCTTGGGGGGGCGGGGCTCGGGGGGGGGGGTTCCTTCGAACCCCCCGAACCCCCCTAGCTACGGGCCTGCTAGTTCAGTACTGCCATACTGTCAGAAAGAAGGAACACAACTACGAATAATTAAGTAGATGTGAATTTTACTGAACTAGCAACAGTATCCGAGAAGGATTCGAGAGCTAATAATATCTGTACCTGTACTTATAATACCTGTACCTGTACTAATAATACCTGTANGGCGACTTTTCAAACGGTATTAACAAGACTTGTGGGATTATCAGAAAATGGTTCGAGTGGACGTCGAGTGCATGAATGCTGAAACTTTGGACTGAACTAGCAATAGTATTCCGGAGAAGGAGTTCGGAGAGCTAATAATACCTGAACCTTGTACGTCATCAATAGACCTGTACCTGTACTATATAATCTTGGCCTGGTATAATGAATACCTTGCTACTGTACTAACATTACCGTATACTGTAAAGTAATACACCTCGTCCGGTGACTCCCATACAACTACCTGTTATAGCAACAAAAAGCAGCTGCTTCTAATAATACCTGTACCTGTACTGAACAATACCTGTACCTCGTTGGGGTCACTAAATAATACTTGTATCTCTGGTACTAATAATGACCCTTACCTGTGACTATCAATACCTGTATCGGGTCACTATAATACCTGTTCGTGTACGTTAATTAATACGCTGGACCCTTTACTAACAGAATCACCATGGACCTGTACTATAATATCTGTTACGCTGTTTTGCTAACGTAATACTGTGATACTAGGTACATGCACTGATACCTGTACCTAATAATAACTGTACGCTGTACTATAATAGCCTGTATCTGCGTACTATAAGTACTGTTACCTGATACAGCTATAATGAAATAGGTTCCTGGTACGCTGGTGTCTCAGTAAGCCTGTACTCATCTAGCTAATTTACAAGGAGTAATGATTTAATTTGCGCTCTCCGAGTTTATAGGGGTCGCCGCACGGAGGGACAGCGTAACTGCCGGCAACGCGTAGGGCAACGCGCCTGGCTTCACACCGACACACACCACAAACACACACAACACACCACACAACACACACACAACACACACACACCACACACACAACAAGCACAATTTTCTGGATCTGGGTCACACCAAATTCATCTGTATTGGTTTCTTGGCCCAAGACCAACCGTCAAACTTGGTCTCATGAATCGAAGTAATAAGCGAAAGGGAGTCGGTACAATTAAGCAACTGCGAACCGTTACAACACATTTCATAACCTTCAATGTTTAAATCTTGCCCTTTATACGTCCACAGTTATTACTGTTTGTGTAGAAAATAACTGGATTTGATCAAAAACTGTTCAAAATGCTAGCGTAAAACGCAATCTGCCGTCATTTGCCAAATATTCAGCTCATTCGAAATAACTATCCTACGTTGATAGTGCACCTCGGGATTTTATATACTGGACTCCCTGAAGCTCCAGAAGTAGCGTTTCAACATATGAACGTTAAATAGTAAAACCATATTACGAGGGAACATAAATAGTTCATATTGATCGAGGAGAGGGAGACGGGAAAGTGGCGGGGGTGAGGCAGGAGGGGAGGAGAAGGTACAGAACGAAGGGGAGCTATATGAAGTGAAATGGAGAGGGAACGAAGTACATATATAAGGGGAAACGCATTCGTAAAGGTATCGACCCGGCTCTGCATCTAACTACATTTCGTCCGCATTCACGTGACATCGCCATATTATATAGAAACACAATCAAACATAATTATACTTATCTGAACGCTAATGTCTTTCAGAACATAATACATAAGCGTCGCCAGCGTAAAATTCTAGTGTCCGCACGAGGGCAACACTGCGCAGAACGCCGAGCGAAACTGGATACTCCTCCCTGCATATATCAAGAATTTCATGAAGGAGTTGCAGAATGCCAGCATGTAGCCGACTCCACGCAGTAGATCCAGCCGCTCGTGTCGGATGCCAGCGAGGTTCAAAGCCATTATCAATAAGAACGGCGTCCAGCAGACGAGGAAGGCGCCGACGACAATGCCGAACGTCTTCGCCAGCTTCAGATGCTTGACGAGAGCGGTATAGAAAGCGTGACTCTTTGCAGCATCCTTCTGCGGACCGCCGGCTCCACTCAGCGGCTGGATGCGCCTCGTATCTGTCTACGTTGATGGCAATGAGGGCGTTTACAGATGTGGTAGCGGAAAACGAAGCCGTAGTGAAGTGTCCGAGGCATAAGATCTTTGGTGGAAAATCGATTATAATTGTTGGTGGCGCGAAGAAGGTTCCTTGAACTCCCATAAAGAAGTCAGCAACAGCCATCAGCCATAAGTTTACGATCAGCTTGTGTGCCGGCTCCTGCAGGTGTGATGTCCGTGTCACAGCCAAGATGACGAGAAGATTAGC